GAATCGCCTCAAAGCCTTACGGAATTCTTTTTCCATGGCCTCTCTGAACTCATCCCACGCCCGAGTTTTTGCCTCAGCGACCACCCGAGCCGCAATCCACTTGGACTGCCGATACCTATCAGCTGCTTCTGGAGTCCCACAGGCCAAAAAGGCCCAATAGGACTCCTTCTTCAGCCTGACAGCATCCCTCACCGCCGATGTCCACCAGTGGGTTCGAGGGTTGCCGCCACGACAGGCACCGACAACCTTATGGCCACAGCTCAGGTAAGCCGCCTCAACAACGGAGGTACGGAACATGGCCCACTTGGACTCAATGTCCCCCACCTCTCCCAGAACGTGTTCGAAGGTCACCCAGAGGTGTGAGTTGAAGACTCTGACGGGAGACTCTGACAGACGTTCCCAGCAGACCCTCACTATACATTTGGGTCTGCCAGGTCTGACTGGCATCCTCCCCAACAAACGGAGGATGACGTTAGTAAATGTTTTTAGTTTTATTTTTTATTTGTAATCTGAATATTTCTGCACACTTTGCATGATTTCACTCTTTTATATGTGAAATAATTCAGCTCATTCAGGAGATGCTTTGAGTTCTGCATTTTGAAAACTGTTATAAAAAAACTTCTGTAAAATATTTATCCACAGAAATACAATCTCTTCAATTAAAAATATCTGCTTCAGCATACATACTCTTTTTTTACTTTTCTTTTAGCTTTTATCTACTGTTTGCCCATTTTTAGCTTTTACTTACTGCTTCAATACTAATAATTTATCCTTTAATACTTTTAACAAGTCTCTGGTTATATGTAGCTTTTAATTAGCTTAATGCGTCATTTGGCTTTTAACCTGTTTAATGCATCATTTAGCTTTTCAGCTTTCGAGTAGCCTTTTGTTACTGTAAGCTAGAATGTTCTTTCATTTTTAAGCTGGTGAAAAAAAAACTTTCTCTAGTTTTTTTAACTTTACAAAAGCATCTTAGCTAAGCGAGCATGTGCATGAAGTTTGTTTACCTCCTTGAATATCTCGTCTGTAAGCTGAAGTCTTGGACATCTTTTTCTTCGCTTTGGACTTTTGGTTGGGGGGTGTGCGGGTTTCTGCAGGGGAAGAGCGGCTGTGTGCTGTATGAGAAAACCAGACATTTAGTTTAACAAGAGTTCTGCATGTTCAGCATTCTCGGTGAGCTAGCCTGAGAACAGTTTGTTTACCGGGTGTAGCTGTACTGCCGCAGCCTTCATTCAGAGCTGTTGCCTGGCTATGGGGGCAGTGATGAGCAGGACTTTGGCACTGAAGCATTCGGACCTCTGAAGAGCAGTGATGCTGTTGGCCGAAGAGGTTGAGGTTGGGGTTGGACTGGGTGACCGGTGGGCACAGTGCCTGGGGCCCACGCATGGGACTGCAGGGCAACCTTCTGCTGTGGAGATAAAGTCAATTTGTTATTTTCTGCATGCATGCTAAATAAAACTGATTCTACAAAAAGTAAGAGCGCTGAAGCCTGGTTTAATGTCATTTTTATTCTTAGAACTGCTGTTTACTGTTTGTACTTTATTCCTAAAACAAGCTATATTTACACACTCTGTGCTGTTTATCCATCCATTCATTCATTAAAACAGTGTTTTATGATGTTTGTTTTTGTAACTTTTTTTGGTTCAAGTCAAATTTAATTGATAGATTCCAGTTTGTAAATGTTGTAGATATTTTTCTTCTAACACTAGAGTTAGTCATGGAGTTCCTCAGGATTCAGTGCTTGGGACCAATCCTCTTTACTTTGTWTATGTTTCCATRGGTAAAGTTATGAAACAGCATGGGGTAAATTTCCATTATTCTGATGATACTCAATTATACACTCACCAGCCACTTTATAAGGTACACCTGTCCAACTGCTCATTAATGTAAATGTCGAATCAGCCAATCACACGGCAGCAACTAAATGCATTTAGGCATGTAGACATGGCCAAGATGATCTGCTGCAGTTCAAACCGAGCATCAGWATGGGGAAGAAAGATGATTTATGTGACTTTGAACGTGACATGGATGTTGCTGCCAGACGGACTGGTCTGAGTATTTCACAAACTGCTGATCTACTGGGATTTTCACCCACAACCATCTCTAGGGTTTACAGAGAATGGTCTGAAAAAGAGAAAATATCCAGTGAGCAGCAGTCCTGTGGGCGGAAATGCCTTGTTGATGCCAGAGGTCAGAGGAGAATGGGCAGACTGGTTTGAGCTGACAGAACAGCAACAGTANGAAAATATCCAGTGAGCAGCAGTCCTGTGGGCGGAAATGCCTTGTTGATGCCAGAGGTCAGAGGAGAATGGGCAGACTGGTTTGAGCTGACAGAACAGCAACAGTAACTCAAATAACCACTCGTTACAACCAAGGTCTGCAGAAGAGCATTTCTGAACACACAACAAGCCAAACCTTGAGGCAGATGGGCTWCAGCAGCAGAAGACCACACCGGGTGCCACTCCTGTCAGTTCAGAACAGGAAACTGAGGCTACAATTCACACAGACTCACCATATTGGACAATAGAAGATTGGACAAACGTTGCCTGGTCTGATGAGTCTCGATTTCTGCTGCGACATTCGGATGGTAGGGTCAGAATTTGGCGTCGACAACATGAAAGCATGGATCCATCCTGYCTTGTATCAATGGTTCACGCTGGTGGTGGTGGTGCAATGGTGTGGGGGTGTTTTTCTGGCACACTTTGGGCCCATTAGTACCAACTGAGCATTGTGTCAATGCCACAGCCTACCTGAGCATTGTTGCTGACCATGTCCATCTCTTTATGACCACAATGTACCCATCTTCTGATTATGTCCATCCCTTTATGACCACAGTGTACCCATCTTCTGATGGCTACTTCCAGCAGAATAACATGCCATGTTATTCTTTCAGTAAAAAGACGTGTAAATACATGTCCCAACACATTTTAAGTCTGACATGAAACTGATCACTATGGTTAATGAGTAGCATGTGGTCACGCAAACTTCCCCAAAAGACTATCCCTTTAAATCAGGTTCACTCCAAAACGTAATTARTTGTAGTCGATGAAATCCATCCAGTAGGTCATGAGATATTTTACTAACAGTCATAGGGCACTAATCCAATAACTTTTCTCTCACAAGTCTGAACTTTACCAGCAGAACGTCTGACATTTATCAGCACATTAATAACATGTCTGGAACTATTAAGTCCTGCTTCTGTTCACATACCGGGCCAGCTGCTGGGCCTCCACTTGGTTGAGGTGAGGGAGGTCATTGGGGGCCCTGGGGTCATCATGGGGGGATGGGGTGAGGGTGGCAGTAGACTGGTGGCTGTAGGAGGTGGTTGGAGAGGAGGTGTTGTTCCTCTGAGGTGAAGGCCCATCCTCGCAGCCTTCCATCAAGTACGTCCTCTCAGGAAGAGGAGGACACCACTCTTCATCAGAGCTGCTCAGAAAAAAACACCAGTCTTACTGATGGTTGCTCCTGCATGTGGCGCTCGAGGGAAACATTAAGAGCAGCTTGTTTTTCAGCTGAGATAGTTTAATGATCATTCAGACTAGACTCAAGCAGGCCATGGTTACACAGCAGGGGACAGAGTCTCTGCTCGGCTGGTAGTACTGCTCTGTAAGTGGTGACAAGTATGGGTTAGATCTGAAGAGAAAAACAGCTTCAGAGCAGGGCTGAGATAATCAGGTTTGGTCTGTAACATTACACTTTTGAATAAACAACAACGGGCCTCATGCAAGAACATGTTCATATTCTTATCCTAAATTTCTCTTACTTTTGTTCGTACAAAGGGTTCATACGAACATGTCACGTCAGATTCAACAAACTCTTCTATCTTCAGGAAAAGTGTGTAAATGAGGTGCGTAAACATGATGAATTACACTTGTTCTATCCAGCTGCTCGTGCATGCGGAGAGGAGATTAGCATAATTACCACCCCAAAAACACCATGTAAGGCTGTGTTTCCTGCCTCAGATATCAGGAAGTGTTCATTCATGAAAATCACAGCGAAAAGTAAAAAGAAGAACGTCTGTCTGTCAGAGATCGAGAAAAGAAAATCTGTCATTTTTAGCAGCGTCAGCTGTGGAATTAAAGGAGCTGCTTAAAGGAACGAAACGTGCTGTTAATGTGTCTCCTGTGGGTTGTTACAGTCACAGAAATAAAAATCTAAATCATATTAATCTCTCTCTAGTCCTGCTCCGGTTTTCCTTTGGTCAAATATTTTTTAATTCAAGTGTTAACAACTGTGGTAGACTTTTTCATTTATTCAGAATAGGAGCAGTCGCGCACCCCCCTCCACCCACACACCTCCTGCCCCAAGTGTCGGATGCGTTTCTGAAAAAAAAACTTCTTAAAATGTTTCCAAACTTCAAATAACCTCATATTAATATTGTAGTGTTATACAACAGCATTAATAGCCAATGTAATTTAATTTAACCATTTTATGTCATTAGTCTACATTATTACGTTTMAAATTATAACACTAATTCAAACAGAACAGCCTATTTTCAACATAATTATGGAGTGTGATTTATTTTCAACTCGAAATATCTTCAAACTAATGAAATATAAAGTTATTAGGGAAGAAAACCCGTCTGGATAACAGCAGACTGACTGCTCGTAAAATATACGACAGGTCTGGACCACTCGTRAATTTTGTTCGTATCTGAAAAAAATCTTAGAATACGAAAACATTGGTGAATGCCACAAATTCTCCTAAATCACTCGTACGCACAACTTTAGAACAAATCTTTGCRTACGAACGGTTCTTGCATGAGGCCCAATGGATTTTAAACATTCTCCCCCTTTTTAACCCATTTTTAAAAGCTACCGTTAAAAGGCTCCAAATGGCCRTTTTTTGTAGACCAGTGAAACTGAACTCACCCTATATCCATGTTGTCATGTTCTGGGGGCTGCTCGTCCTGCTCACATGGTTCCAGCTCTCCAACAGAYGGAGGTGGGGGCAAAGCCTCCATCCAGCTCAAACATGGGGTCTTCACAGCCTTACCCATCACCTTCTGCTTGGGCTTACCTTCAAATCAGAACAGTGAGATTGAGGAGTGGAGTCTGTAAGAAAGCCTGGACTGAGATCATCCATCACGAGGACAGGTTTCCCAGCAGCCTCGTGGTTCTGGTATAAATGTGTTGGAAGCTAGAGGAGAGCTGTTTCCATTCAGAACATTTAAAAATCAAACAGCTTATTGAAATTACTGATGCACACATACAACACAAACACTGGATCAACAACCTCGGGACCAAACGGCTCCACGATTAGTGTTTGGTCTTTCCCAGGGTGAGTRTTTGTTCTGATATCCTTTCATATGTTGAGAAGCTAGCAGTGGCTAACACCAACAAACATGCAGCATGACACGTAACGCTAGCATAGCCTAAAATGTCCAGTACCATAACTTAATACTCACTACTAAATAAATGATCTTTATAGCTTTATAAACATAGGCTCTAAAACAAGTTAGCAGCTTACATACTTCCAATGAAGTGATCACTGCAGACACCAWGTAAGACCTCATTTTGTAATAACAATGCATTATGTAATAATGTAATAAAATCAGGCTTCAAAATGTAATAAACTCGCGCTAAAACCGCATTATATAATGACACAAAATGTAACAAAAGTCTTCAACGCATTATGTAATAACGTTATTACATTTTGCGGCAATTGTTACAAAATGTGGTGGTGTAATAATCTGGTGCATTATGTAATAAACCATCGAAAAACAGTATTTCTGTTCATCCTAATCAATATTCTTGTAATAACTGTCATGTTGCAAATACTACATAATTAAATCTTTATAACTTTGGTCAATAAACACCGAACTTCTCATCTTTTATTTGCATTTTCAGTCAAATTCATTTGTACGTAGATGTATAGAGCAATCTCACAGATTTTTTTCATGTTTTATGAATCTTTCAAAAACTTAGTTTCTAATTTATTCAACATGTCAGAGCCTGTAGGACGTTAAAAACAATTATTCACATCAAATATCCCCTTCCAACCTACTCTATTGCTGGAAACAAGTTCTTCAACCCTCATTTCCTTCTGATACAGAAGCCGACAGTCCGCCTGCACCGCGCCCCCCCTCCACTCCGCGGCTGATGGCCCACCTGCACCCCCCAACCCTCCTGCGTGTGATTAATACAGTTTTTTTTAACGAAAATTACAGATTTTTAAGGCTCATTATACAGGTAAACATCTGAAGGGGTTGACATGTTTGTACAACTAACTTTTAGATATATTTTGGAAGTTATCTACAAAGTAGAATAATTTCTGTATCAGGAGGACAGTAAATCTGAAAATGCAAATAAAAGATGAGAAGTTGTGTTTATAGACCAAAGTTATAAAGATTTAATTATGTAGTATTTGCAACATGACAGTTATTACAAGTATATTGATTAAGATGAACAAGAAATACTTGATTGTTTATTACATGATGCACCAGATTATTACACCAACACATTTTGTAATAATTGTCGCAAAATGCGTTAAAGATTTTATTATGTTTTGCATCAATTATTACATTTACATTTATCACAATTATTAATGCAGTTTTAGCAAGAGTTTATTGCCTTTTGAAGCCTRATTATTACATAATGCATTGTTATTACAAAATGAGGTCTTACACACCAGCGTCCTKCTCCTCCTGATCGCAGATRGTTTAAAATCCACTTTTTACGTTATTGTTCTGTGAGCTTTCTGCATTTTTCATCTTTGTRWGTGAYGATCTTCAGTGCTTCATAGTTTTGGGCAGAATCGTACAGAATTATTCATCAGAAAATCTTTTGATGGGTTTTATTTGGCACTTGGCATGGTATAGTGTGTAGTATCGACAGCCTCAGCAAATTTTTAGGTTCTGTTGAAAACTCATCCATCTTCATTATACGACTCGTCTCACAGTATTTGTGAACAAATTGCTGTTATCTGTCTTGAAATAAGATCTAAATTCATACAGTACAGACTCTCTGCAACTATTTCCTCCACAGACATTTTACTTCCTGCCCTCCTGTGGAAATCACTCCGCCTTCGAAACCACGTGACTGAAACCCAGTTATTTATGTCGTATTTACACAGTGTCAATTATATATTTTATTATGTTTAGGTTTCTATTAGACAAACCTGACCTGTTGAGAAGATTAGACAGTATCAGTAAAGACAAGTTACATCCTATTAACAGGTATGCAGTTTTCTAAGTCTTAGGTAAATTTTTATTTGTATTATTTATGACATAAATATACTTTAATACTACCATATTCATGTAAATCTCAAGTATAATACTGCCCTCATTTTTTTGAGTTTAAAAAGCATAAAACATGTRACCCTCAAGCTTTCAGTAATTTCAGACAGACTTCAGGATTTTTTCAGTTTTGTGCTGCGCCCTCTGCTGGGGAAACAGAAGCAAGATGGACTTTTTTTTAGAACAGAAACACAACTTATGTCTGGGGTTTTTTTTATCGCTGCGGTTATAAGAAAAAAAAAACAAGTTTTTCCTCCTCTGACTCAGGTGAGTAAACAACTTCTGTTTATACTTCACAGCACAACAGGAGGGAGAAATTATTTATCCCTCACAACACAATACTTCAATCATACATGAGAAAATATTGAAACTTATTGTAGTCGTACATTAAAAAAGGGCAGTCAAAATGTTCTCATGCATAAAACGACCTTTCTACTTTAAAGATGGTTTTTGGGATGAAATATTTCCTATCATACCTGCATAAATACGGTGGCTGAAGTCAGACTTTTTGAACTAGCAAAAAAGTCTAAGTTAGTGACTGACTTCAGGTCTGGTTTAGATCATTGTTATTTATAAATTATAGATTTTTCTGGTACATGATGTCATCTTCTGATGAAAAATAATGGAGTTGTATCTGTTTCAGACTAACCTCAAAAAGAACAATGGGCCTCATGCAAGAACCGTTCGTACGCACAGATTTGTTCTTAAGTTGTGTGTTCGAGTGATTTAGGAG